AATTATATGTAACAAAATGTTAAACAAAATAAAAATTACTGTTATATTGATTTCATCTATTGATAGCCTAGTATGTTCCTTATTTTTAGAAACGTTTTTTAAGAACACTTATGAACACTTACAAGCTGATTTTTCAGATTATAACCCTTTATATAAGAACCAAATCAGCCTGAATCGCCAAAATAGGTGTTGTTATACGCAGTTTTTTTACTGTAAGGGTTGTTATCTGATACAACAATTATGTTTTATTTATGAGTCTTACAGTGTCAGAATTAAAAGTAGGCGTAAGTGATATTGTGTTCTCTGTAATATGGATCGATTCGTAATTTGCTTTCCCCTAAATCAATTTTATGCAATCTTTAATAGGTTGAAAGTTTATTTTAATCTTTTCCGATTGTTGTCTTTGCTACACTTTCACACACTGTACCTTATAACGGCATAAATTTACTTCATCTTAGAGTACTAAATCATGAATTTATGCTATACAAAAATATAAATTGATGTCGAGTGCAAACACAGAAAGCAAAGTAAAAAGTTATCTAACTGAGCAGTGCTTCGTTCTACTTCTACATAATCCTTTCATAATTGATAATCAATGTCTTTTTATTGTCTTATTTACACTACATAGCGCTCTTGTACTTTTTAACAAGCTGCAGTTATAGGAACGAGATAGATGATATCGATAAATCGACTTTATTTTTGGTAAAATACAAGTTAATCAACATTCAATAACAAAGAGCCCTTAGATAGTACACTTATGAAATGTTATGCACTAGAGATACTAGTCATTGGATTAATGGTATAGTTTTGATAATTCATTGTCAATGTACAATTGATCGCACAATTATTTGATTTTTTATTGTCAAAAACAAAACAATTCACAATTTTTGATACTAATTAAGCAATTTACAACTTTGATGAGCGCCACAATAGATGTAGTCTCCTCGCAGCCGTGTTTAGTTTCGGTCACGCGTCACGAGAGGTTGCGTGACGCGTGACCGAAACTAAACACGGCTGCGAGGAGACTACAATAGATGTGGTTCTCTAGATTTTTTTAACACATACTTATATTACAARGAAAAGAATGAAAAGAAAGTTTATTGTTTTTTGATGCTATCCTATACTCTATCTTGTAGATATATTTTACTCGTTGTGTGAATAAAGATATGATATGATACTTTGCTTATATGATAAAATGGTTTATTAAAACAGAAGCCAACAAAATCCTTTAGAGTTTCGATATGTTAATCACAGAAAAAACACAGTTAGGTGTCTGATTTTCCACTTTTATATAAAAGATTCTTTGTAAAAAAAAAACATTATAAGGAAGTACTTCAAATTGAAATTTACGAGTCTTACTAAAACAACATTTGGCTTGAAGAGTATAAACTGTGGACAAATGGATTTCTTTTTTAAATTTGTTCTGATAGAGTGATTTTGCAGTGGGATCAACAGCTTTTTGTTCAACAAAAATCCAATAAACCTTTTTGGATAAAATATTTTGAAGGGGGTTCCACGGCATTAGTTTTTTGTGGTTTGATACTTTATTTTTATTGGATTTGAGTATTTGAATATTTTGATCGCCATTCGAGAGGAATGAAGAATACCATTGAGTGCCAGTCTTTCAGATAAAGTATTTTTTTTWAAGTCTTCCTTTTAATGTGCCGTGTCGTAGAGGAAATCGATTTTGTTTATACCCTTAGCGGAAATATTGAAAACTGAACGTTTATTTATGCRACTAAATTGATTATTCCACTTTGCTTCGTCTAGTATTTGGTTAAATGAATCTGGTTCCTATAGAGGTTTTAACATGTACAACCGTACCTACTAAAAGGCTAAGACTGGGATTAATTAATTTCGCTGGAACTCGCCGTGCTTATCCCAGTTATCCAGAACCGAAGTTAAAATAATAACAAATAATAACATAATAACGAAAAAAATTCAGAAATAGTTTACTTGAAATTCTAATTGTTAAGWAATTATAATTTGGTTCATCGTACATGTATTGTTCCGTATTCGTCTATACAATCAATCTTCGATTTATGTTGCCATTGGCGGCTTGATTTCAAATTACAACTAGCTAATAATAMACAAACTATTAGAAATAATCAATTCATTATAGAATTTATTTAGTGAAAAGAGGTGTTTGATACATGACATTAGTAATGCCATGAATAGCAGACAAAGACATTTTGAATAGAAACCCGTTCGGGAATTGAACAACAAACGGTGCTTCATGTATTCAAACTTATGAAAAACTGAAAACCTAGGTGGAGATTCAATGAATCAATATATCAGAATATATCAGAATATCTTGGGTTGCAACCCCCGAAGTGAAAATTTATCATTCGTTATTATTCGTTATTTTCAAAAAACAAGTAGCAGGTCACAAAGAGCATACTCAGATTATCTAGAATACGACCTTTAAGGCTTGTAGCTTATATTCTGATGAAGATATAAGCGAATAAAGATTTGAAAAATTTGGTTAATATGTATGGRGACGCCATCTTGGATGATAACTTTGATCATCCAAGATGGCGTCTGATTTCAAATTAACTTTAAAAACTGGTTTCCTTTGTAAATTTTGGTCAATTATGACTTTATTTCAAAGAAAAATCACCTTAAGTAAGTTCTTACGGAGTTGAAAGAATGATTTATCTAATCTCGAAGTTTTTATTTACGATCTACGGTAGAATAAATTAAACTCCGCACAAACTAAAACTTTTGTCTTTCGCCACCAAAGCGTTGAATTCGAATGGAAATTTGCATACACACTATTTAGACGTATATTTAAGATRTACTGTAAGAAGAGCTCTTTAGAAAAAATTTCTTGGATTTTTCGATATTTTTTGCTTGAGTATGACGTCACATGCAACCCACCAATATGTATTTCTTCGCTTTTTTACCCTCCCGAAAAATTAATGAGTATGAGAAGTCGCTTGCGCAATTAGCCGAAGACTGAAACTAATTGCGCGGACTTGAAATCCCATCCAGTCCGAATTGGAGGACTTTAAACATTACTTCTCGTGTTGAGATCTTTTCAACACTCGAAGATAAATTCCGTATTTCCGCGCGCCCATGTAATATCCTCTATATATTCAAAACACGGGCAGTCATGTTGTGTCTTGCAAGTGTTACAATCATCCACCTTCATCTCATGATCTGCCAATATAACACAAGTACATATATTGTTGTCATACAAAACAAATCTTTTTCAGGCAAAGGAGTTCAACTTGATCTTCGTGGTGAAGGTGACGTTTGGGTTCGTTGCCTTAGTGAACACAGTGTTTTTGTTCAAAGTTATTATCTTGATCGTGAAGCAGGCCGTTGTCCAGGTGATGCTGTACACAAGATATACCCTAGTGCATACATTAAGGTATTTGACCTACGACAATGTTACCGACAAATGAAGCAACAAGCCCATTCTGCCCAAGCTGCAGCAGCGGCCCAAGCAGCAGCTGTTGTAAGTGGGGTAGGGCCAGGAGCTCTTCTTCCTCAGATGGGGCAAGTCAGTGTTGGTGTTGATGACTTGAGAAGGTTATGTATTCTTAGGCTTAGTTTTGTGAAAGGATGGGGACCTGATTATCCGCGTAAAAGTATCAAAGAAACACCATGTTGGGTTGAAATTCACCTGCATCGTGCATTACAACTCTTGGATGAAATACTCATAGGAATGCCGATAAATGAGCCACGCCCACACGACGCATAATATTAACAAAACAATTAGCTGTATGTATTTCTTAGAAACTACAGTCAGAAAATAATTATTTTGTAGATGGCAAAATTATTTGGTATAACCGTGTTTGCACAAAAAAAATATCGAAATTAATGAAACTGGGTATACAGTAATTAATATTCTTATCCAAAMATTATTKTATCACTTTTATCTTCCATCAAGTGAACAAGGACAAATGACAATTTTACGAATCGGTGGAATTATGGTTGTGCTTTAGTATTTTGTCAAGATTTTGTYCTGGTTTTACGAAGTATTCATTTAAAGCAAATTGACAGTTTGTCGTAGGCAGCATTTACTTGCATTTGGGTATTTTCGAGATTGCATATTGTTATTTGAATTGGGCGATGTGCGCTCTCTTGTTGCAAACATGATTTTGTTGGAGTCAACATACTAAAAGCTTCATTCAACTTAGCCTGCTAACAGGCGTTACTGCTGGGGGCCGTTCCTTCTCGGCCTGTTAGCAGGCTACATTCAACTATGCAAGGATTAAGATACTAAGAAAATATTGAGGAAACAAGATGTATAATTGAATGAAATTGTAAAAAGTTATGTCATAAACAAAAAGGACTATATTCCGTGCAGGATTCTGTCGTAAACAACTTATTGGTCAACTTTTGGTGATTGAAATAACCAACAAAGCGGCCAAAGTCACAAATATGAAATCGCACCGAAACCAAGAGAGAATGAGCTCCAGAGATTCTTAGAATACACGCTTTAAGGCATTCAAATCTTTCCATGTGTTTTCCGCTTGCCAGCATAGTTGGCTTACTAATAATAACTTTATTAATGCTCCCAAAGTGCTCTTGCGGAATAATTTACAAATAAATAAATAAATAAATAAATAATACTTTTGTATGTATAAAACGTATGTACAATGATATGAATGTAAAATGATATGTGTTAAAAGTTGTAATTTAGTGCAAAAGAAGTAAATGTGTCGCTGCTAATACAAGTTACCTCAAAGCAATGAGCACGTTGAACAATACAAAATTTAACTTTGTACGGCAAAGTTCGGACGATTGACTCGCGCTTTCGGCTTTAGATATTGAAAATCTTTGGGTGCTAATATATATATTTTATTGATTACAGACTGCTATACTATATTTTGAAATATCAAGGAGTCCCGTATAGGAAGTATAGATATGACATGCTATATATGGTAATCAAGTAGATTTTTATCATCGAATAGTATACACTTTTTAACTTGCGGGAATTGTGTGCAATTCTATGATCACATTTACATACAGTAGATATTGGTGAGCAAATAAAACTCTGAAGCTTGTACGTCATGTACTGTATACTCGATGTATTGTAGGGTATGTTTGGGACAAAACATGGCGGATTTCTTTTGTTTTCTGAATTCTTCAGAAACTGATTCCACAATGCATCGCAAATCACGTAGTTGACATAAAAACTTCAGAAGTCTATTTTCAATTTAATGATAAACACTTGCTTGACATTTGCTTTACATTTGAATATAATAACATACAACTGTGAGCAGACAAATATTGTATCCTGCATTTTGTCGTTGTTCAAACTAATTTGCAAACAGCAAGTATTACTATTTGGACCCTGTTTAYTTGAGTTAWGGTGACTCCAAGTAGTAAAGCTAACTCTTTTGTGTTATGAAACGAAAATAATAGATAGCCCTACTATATACCTAGGAGCACCCTACCTTACGTAAACAGTGCCTAAGCCGTTATATATTTGTCTGCGGTAGTCGCCCTATCATTAATCCTAAACCCCTAAACCTAATGATAACGATAATACTTTGTTGTTAGAACGATGTTTGTGATTTGGTAAAATAAAATGCAAAAAATAAAAATGTCCAGTACAGCAATAGACAATATTTTTTAACCCCTCAGTTCCTTCTTTTTGTTGCTTGACTCAATCACAAACTTCGTTCCGACAATATCACATTTATGCAYCATCTACACGAGTCCAATGATTTTAATCCGAAAATATTTTATTTTGATACATACAGCTAGCGTCCGAACGTGTCCACCATATACTCTTGATGCCTCCGGAGGTTTCTGTATGTGCTCTCCAGAGCGGACATTTCTGGGTAGAGTCTGCTGTACGACTTCCATATATGGATKCCTATATGCATGCCTGTGATGTACATATTGGTCGTTTTCAACCATTCCCATGAGATTCAAAAGATAAAACATCGGCAGCCRTGTTGGAGGGACAAACAATAGATACTATAATGAGAAATCAACTGTTGAAGTTCCTCCAAGATGGCCGCTGTGACGTAACTTGAAAACGAAGAATAGAAGRCTCCCATGTCCCTATAGAAGGTTCATTAATTATATAGTAAATCTGATATACGTAGTTATTTATGCATTCGTTCATTAATATCACAAAAATTCAGTTTCAATCAAGCGAATTGATTTCATGGCTTAATGGTTAGGTTTAGGGAAAATACAGGGTTAGGCAATGCATGGCACTGGTTCGAATCTTCATGCTTGTCCTTGAAAAATTCTTTTCGGTTCAAGTCATTGAAAATTTTCTAAGTTCTTCACATAATTGGACATGGGAGCCTTCTAAGTGTACATTAGCGACAAGAACATCCACAGCCATATATGGAAGTGCCTCCAGTTGTTATGTATGAGAGCGATCTKTCATACAACGTCACACATTTATGGATGTACATACAAAGGGTCACCGACGTACATATAGAAGGCCTCTCATGTACGTATAATGTGGAGGAATTTTTGAATGACGAGCAGCCTAACTCCTTAACTTAACCATATAAGCGTACGAGAGCCTCTGTGCATCTGTGACTATCCAGATGTGGAAGTCGTATGACTGATCCTACTTTTATGAGTTGAATATCTGTGGACACATTTTTTTCCGAGTATTTTTATATACCATGACATCACAGCCTTTTATGCGCATGCTTTATTGACTTTTCTTTAAGTATCTGGGTTCTTATCGGTTACATGTGAACAGTCTTATACGATTTGTATATACTACATGTGGATGTGTGTAGACTGGGCGTCAATCCGTAAAATTGTACCAAATCAAAATGTCACAAATTGCACTAAATCTGTAAATGAACTTYCTTTTGAATCATCATCTTTTATGAACAACATTTAGTAAATGGTAGTGGTTTTCATAAACCCGTGAAACAAAGTGCAATAATCAAAGTGTATGATACGCGATACAGCGAAAAGATAAAGAAAAACTTGCAAAATAATGAGTAACTAGACGAACATCGGGATCGTGAAGTCGGGCTACGGCAAAGCACACTGTCACATTACTATGGGATAAATTTTGTAAATAAAATTTTCTGAAATATGAATTGTCGAAGTTTTTAGAAGTACTGATAGCTCTGACATTAAAGTACCTAGAAAATTCCATCTTGAARTAATGGATCTAGTTTTAAACTWAGATACTCAGTCCTTTACGCACACAAAAACACRCACTTTATTGAGAAAACCACAGGGAGCCCAAGCAATGAATTTGAACCTGTACCACATCCGGACGCTGCCCAACATTAAACAACATTTAGTA